AGCAAAAAAAATAAAAATCAAAGTGGTGAATAAATACCACCAAAATAAAGTTTTATCTGTCTCAAAAAAAATGCTAAAAATTCATATGGGTACCGTGTTGCATATGGGTACCGTGAGCGCGCAATTGTCATTCAAAGTGTGATAGCGCTGAAAGCTGAAAATTGGCCTGGACAAGATGGGGGTGAAAGTGTCTGGACTTGAAGTGGTTAATCACAGGGAGCAGCATTCTTCATATATAAAATATAATTCAGTGTGAAAGGATTGGGTGGAGACAGTGGTTTGATGTGTAACTACAATTTAACTGTTGTGGCTATTGCAACATTATTTTGTCTGGTAGTGTGTTTATCGTTCCTACTGAACTACATTTCATGGCTCATGCACACATACATCAACATACAAACCCAAAAATATCAAATGCACTATGCTGTTAGTTGATATTTAGTTGCGTGGCTCACCTTTTTACTGCTTCAGAGTTGCTTTAAGCTGATTCTGATTTGTTTCAAACTTCTTTGAGTTGCATTCATGTTGACTTGTAAGAAGAGCACTTCAGACATGAAGACATGTCCATTCACCAGGAGTGGACTGACAACTCATGGGGCCCCCGGGCAATAGGGGATCATGGGGCCCCTGTGTCCTTGCCCAAACTGAAAAAAGCCTATGAAAAAGGTACCAGGGGCATCTCTTGGGGCCCCCTACTGACCCCTGGCCCTCGGGCAGTGCCCGAGTTTCCAAATGGTCAGTCCACCCCGGCCATTCACATAGGCTTTTGTGCACATATACTTATTTGTCTTATGGCAAAATGAGCCCAAACACTCTAGAAACAATATGAAGTTGTATCTTGTTGAATTGTAACCTACACTGCTACATGATGACTTATTGATTAGATGAACCACTATGTTTTCAACCACAGTACTACATACAAAACCCTCTGTATGTAGAAAATTATTGGCCTTAAGTAATTAGCAGCTTCAATAGTTGAAGTAGTAGACTACAATTGGTTGGTACAGGGCCAAATTCAACTATGTACACTGCATTTACAAAATAGATTAAATGATGAATAAATAAATATGGAGCTGAATACATTTGTGCCTGTTATATATGACTGGAGTTAAGCTTTTAAACGTCATTGCTTTGGCAAATATAAAGGAGATTGTACAATCATATTGTAAAGTAAATGTTCAAAATGCAAATTTTAAAGCCGGTCCTTCATGTTGTATATAGACTTGTTTAATCGATTTTGCAACATACACAGAAAAAAGTCCTTTGATACAGTAGGAAGGATAAGTAATATAAAATATGTTCAAAAGATGTATCAATGATAGTTATGTGGGCTTTTTTTTTTTTTTACTCATGAGTATTTGGTTTAGAAGTGAAAAATATATTCAGTAAGTGATGTTAGCACATCTGCACATGTGGCCAACAAAGGGATTTTTGTTTCCGCTAGAGGCTTCTCCTTCTTACAGTTTATATGGATTGCAGTTACTATAAAATGAGTATTTGGCAGGAGTGCCTGCTACATTCTATTGTTTATTCCTGGTCCTTTTTACACTGGCTGCTTAACAACATAGCTTTATAGCAGATGACTTACTATCTAAAGTAATTGTTCTTCATGTCTGTTCTTTCAGCTACATGACAGAATGCTCATTCAATTCCTACAACTGTATTATACATTTCTAGCAAATACTAAACAACTAACGGTTTCAAAAGTCTTTGTGTGATTAATCAAGATGCTAAAAAAACAAGCAACTAGATTATCCTCAATGCACATTTTGGCAAGCTTTCAAGACTCAGCTGTTTGAATCACTTTTTTATTTTTCTTGGATTATAACATTTAAATAACTAATTGATGTGTAGCTGAAACAAGACGTTTACATGTAGACAGAGCCAAATACCCTTTTGGTGTCTAAGATAGCTATAGAATATAAAGCTAGCATATACAATTTACAAAACATGGTATTGCTGTGCCACAGAATAGCAGTTGCATATTTTTACATTAATACCACTTTTGTATGATGACTAGAAAGAATACATTTTTTTTTTCTGAATACTTCCTATAACATAGTTTTATTACCTGTTGATCCTGCCCATAAATCCTTTATTTTTCCACTTCCTGAACCAGGCCAAACTGTGCACCTTTTTTCCTGTGTTTTCAGTCTAGCCCGCCCTGGCCTTCGTTCTCGCCTAGGCGAAAATTACGTAAACCCTGCTCTTGGAGCCTTTTGGGCTATGCACATCACATTTCCCAGCAGGCATCAGCAGAGACAAGGCAGCATTTGCCATGCATCATCATGGGGCCCACCGCAACCCCAGAAGACAGCCAACTCTCAATGATGTTAGACAAGACAAGATGGCAGTGCACATTCTGATGTGTGGCAGCGTACTGGTGGATCACAGAACAATGGTAGATGCACTGGGCATGTGAGTACGTTAATTTAGGAAACCCCTGTGAAAAGGGCAGGAGGGGTTTAAAAAAAATATAAGTGGGAGGGGGAGTTAAGTTTTCCCAACAATATCACTTCTAGTCTAAGCAGCCAGTGTGCTATCAAAAAGCTAATAAAATGCAGTACCTTTACTGTTTATAAATTTTTCCTACTACTACCTATCTTGTACTGAGCTAACACGACCTTCACATCCCCCAAGCAATGCACCTGTGACATGGGTAGGGCAACATTCTCCAAGATAGAAGATGGTTTAGAGGGACAGTCTGGATTATGATGCCCATCACAAGTCATTACAGCAGCTCTCCAAGGGGTGTGAATACTATTCTGCACCAGCCCTACATAGTCTAATTAGTTGGAGGAAAGATTTACAAGCAATAAATATATCTGCTTGTGTTAATTTTTTCTTGTTCAATATTTTTTTTTTTAATTTTCAGAATTAGGTTCAAGAAACATACAGAATATAAAAACATACAGAACAGAAAGGATCAATATACTTACATAACAAAATTGCATAGAAAAGTGGCATAAAACATCATTGCGCAATCAAAATGGAAAAATGGACCAGGGCATAGAGACAAGTGATAACAGAAGAATAATATTTCAGTGGGAGGTGTGCTCCGTGTTCTCAGAGGTGAAGGAAGATGTATACTATGTAACCTAGTTTGGAGAGGCTCAGATTGCAACACCTCCAGCCCAGTACGAGACCCCTTCATCCCTAGCAAGGAACGATAATGAGGGATATTGGGGTAAGGTTGGTTAGAGGAAGTGGGAGGAAAAGAAGTGGGAGAGGAAAACAATGGTTCACAATATCCAGGCATCTCTTACTTCCACCCTCTTACAAAAGCAGCGACCCTGGGTTCAAGGAGGTGGGATTCTTTCCATGGTTCCCATGTGCTGGCTTTTTGACAACACACAGGGGTGTCAAACTGCAGCCCTCCAGTTTTGCGTAACTACGAATCCTATGAGACATTGTAAGGCTGACAGTTAAAAGCATGACTCCCAAAGGCAGAGGCATGACTCTCAAAGGCGAGAGAGGCAGGTGGGACACTGTTTATAAAACTACAATTGCTTTTCAAACTGCCCAAAAAACATTAAACATATTTTCCCCTACCCGATATTCACAGACATGCCTATTTTCTTTTAGGCTTGTATAGATAGATCTACAGAACCAGAGCTATGTAATGGGAAAGAAAACAAATGGCTATAAGCCAAACATTTCCATGCACCAACACCCCCTTTCTGCATCTGATAACAAGCTTAGAATGTTTGTTCCAGTCTTTAAGAAAATATTAAAACAAGGGCATCTAGTGTTTTTAAGCATTTTATGGTTATTGTAATTAAATCCAGGGTAACTACAAAATCTGCATTTGGTGGAAGTGTGAATGCTCAGAGCTTTAAATCAATCACATTGTCCACCAATATCTTCTATCCTAAATGAAACTTGCAAAATCTATTCATTGACCATGTGTAAGCTTGCACTGCTCCCCTATTATGCCTATCTTGCCTTTTAAAGAAATGTTTGAAGTGAACAACTCAAAATGTCCCTCCAGTGATTTGGGCTAGCAAACAGGACTGAATCCCATCTTCCCTAAGCAAACACCAGTTCCATTTCAAAGGTACAGGCTGCTATTTGCAGCTGATCAGAGACAAGATCAAAACCATATTGGAAAGAGGAACCCCAGAGACAGGCCCTCATTTGTTGTCAGAGAGCTGTGTCATCATGTCACAGAGATCAGCACTGCGTTCAATAGACAGGCCACACAAAACCATCTGTGCTCACCTGAAAAGAGCTTCATATTATCACAGCTCCAATCCTAATTGAGACGTGCTCATGAGAAAGGTAAAGTCAGGGCTAGGGGATTGCATGGCAAACCTGCTGATTAATATGTCCTAGCTGATATTTCTGTTGAAGGATTTTCTGCTGCTGGATTGTCTAGATAATGCATTATTAACATTCAGCTACTTAGCAAAAAGTTTTACTTCTATGCATTTCCCTCTAAAAGAAAAAGTGCATAACCTATTGATTGACACCATAATGAGCAAAAGTATTGGGCAGGGATTTTTTCATACTTTTTCCAGAACACCAATTGTATTTTCATCTCACAGCACTGTTTTCAGTGAATAACAGTAACTTTTTGTTGACTTTGCCTTATTTAATCACTTACCTACAGGGCACTTATACCCCCTTCCTGTCCAGGCCAATTTTTCAGCTTTCATTGCTGAAACACTTTGAATGACAATTGCTCGGTCATGCAACAGTGTACTCATATGAAATTTTTTATCATATTTTTGAGACAGATAGTGCTTTCTTTTGGTGGTATTTAACCACCTCTGGGTTTTTAATTTTTTGCTAAACAAACCAAAAACTACAGAATTTTTTATAAAAAAAAAAAAAGGTTTTTTTTCTTAGTTTTTGTTATAAAATTTTGTAAATCAGTGAAGGAGAAAAATCAGTTATGAGCGCTAATGAGGCTGCAGTGATGGGCACTGATAGGTGGCACTGATGGTCACTGATGAGGAGGCATGGGTAGGCAGCACTGATGGGCATTGGCAGGCATCACTGATGGGCACTGATAGGCAGCACTGATAGGTGGCACTGATATCGGCACTAATAGGCGGCACTGATGCGCACTGATAGGCGACACTGATTGGCGGAACTGACGGGCACTGATTGGCAGCACTGATAGGTGGCACTGACAGGCATTGATAGGTGGCACTGACTGGCACTGAAAGGCAGCTCAGATGGGCACTGATATGTGACATTGATGTGCACTGGTAGGCACTGATATGTGGCATTGATGTAGCACTGATGGGCACTGGCAGGTGGCATTGATGTAGCACTGATGGGCACTGGCAGGTGGCATTGATGAGCACTGACAGCTGGCATTGATGGAAACTGACAGGTGGCACTGCTGGGGCTACACTGATCATCAGGGCACACTGATCAGCACATGTCCCCTCTGAGGAATGCCGATTACCGGCTCTCCTCTCCTCGCGAGCTGTCAGCGTGACAGTTCGTGAGGAGAGAAATGCCGATAACCGGTATTTCTTTATTTACATGCGATCAGCTGTGATTGGACACAGCTGATCACATGACCGAGCCGACGTCTTGGGCTCTTTCCGTTGATCGGTGATCTGCTGTGTCCGAGGGCCACAGCGCACAACTGATCGCCGCACTGCGCACCCCCAGAGCCGCGCACGTGTGGTTAGAAGGGGAGGACGTCATATGACATCCTTCCAGAACAAGAGAACCGCCCGTCATTTCCTTATATAGTGGGCGGGAGGCGGTTAATGTCCTGGTCAGAAGCCTTAGTAGTGTTAGAGACTAATCAAACAAATACAGTATGTACAATAAGTACACCATATAAATGTGCTATACCTTTAACTTAAAAAAAAAAAACAATCATACAACCAAATATATGACAAAAATGTAGTGTTTGGAGTATATACACCAAATAAATGTGCTATACCTTTAAATAATTAAGAAGTGATTAACCTTAAAGTTTACATGAATGCAGTATATATATATATATATATATATATATATATATATATAACTACTATGCATATATGAGAATACTAACAGTGCTCCACCCTTAAAGTATTACTAAACCCAGCACCCTGCATTCACTATTCTCCCACAGTCACAGAACATGGAAGTGCAATTGTTGTAGTAAAATATAAACTGCTAAATACCTTTTCTCTTCAGCAGTTAGAGCAGTCTTTTGACTTATACCAGTGTCCAGCAGAACACATTAAAATTTGTAGGAGGAGTGTTCATTGTGCTCTAGGAGGAAGCAGAACCCCTGACCTCTGTCTGGACAGTGCTAATTGGCACTGTGCTGATCACATGCACTCTCCCAAGAAAAAAAAACAACAAATTACCACACACAGCCTCTTACTGACTTCTAAGACTCTAAATCATAGGTGGTCTTAGTAAGCTCTCATCTTTCATAATTCAGTTGTCATCGATCACATAAAGACCTCACAGGACATCAGTAGTGGTTGTGTAGGCAAGTCACTTTTAAGAACCGGGAACTACAGGAGATACCACAGGACCGCCTAATATGCTTCTCTTGCTCCCATTATACCAATCCAGCAAGAGAAAGCAAATGCCAATAGTGTAAAACTGTATACTTTTAACGTGTGTAAATCAAGCCTACATTTACTCACAGGTCCTCCAATAGGACATTCTCAAGGTTCAACCCCTCGAGAACGTCCTATTGGTACAGTATGCCTACTTACGATTGACAATATTTGGGAGGAAAAGGAATATATGCTCAAAGTAACCAAGCCTTTTGTGTCAATTTGCTATTAATGCTGAACTCCAGGCAGACATAAAAGACACACATTAGTGCAATTCTGTACTCAGTAATCAATCATTAAATGTATTTTATAAATGCAGCTAGTGCAAATGCTTGAATTTGAACTTGTGTTATCCAACTAAAACAATTGAGTACTGTCCATGATACTTTTCTTTTTTACTTTGCATTAACATTTCCAGGACAAGGGTATTTCCTTCTTGCTCCAAGCAGTACATATACACCAAGTTTTAGCAAATTCTTAGGTTAGACAAATTCTGAGGAAAAAAATTGTTTTTGTTGCAAGTTCACTATGGCTACAATAACCTCCAGTATTATCCAACTACAATAAGCCTCTAGTGATGTATTTTAAATATATATTATTCACTGCACAAAAATATAGTTAGAAAGTATAAGGAAGGCAATACAGTCACATACTCTTTAAATTCTCCCCACTGCTTTTCTACTTCCTGTATTCAGTTAGTAATAATTGGCTGTTTAAGGCTGAAATCATTTTTAGGAATGCAGTATCTTGTTCCCACTAAGATTACTGCTGAACCAACACTTGTATGTCCATAATGTGTTTTGGCTTCTTAAAAATGGCCGCCGCAAACGCTAGTGCGCATGCGCGAACGCTACTGCGCATACGCGAACCGGCAATAACGGCGCCGCCGCATTGCGGTGTATTTTGGCGCTTTTTTATGTATAAAAACACTCCTTTTACCACTGGCACAGTCCCTCTGATGATGTGTACTCACACGATACGCGTTAGGGAAGTGCCAAGCTATTTATATCCTGTGTACATGTACCTCTGGTCTGGCCGTTTATGAGCAGCTGAACCTTGTTTAGTAAGTTCTTTTCTGATTATTTACCTACTTTAATAAACGATATCACACTATTTGAGGCCTTTTTCCACGGGCTGTTTATTTCTGGGGAGCCTGTAATTCTGAAGGTCCTGGGGCTGTGCTTAGCAAAGGACACATCTGCAAGTGACATCCCTGGATCCATGACACAGCTCCTCCTGGAACGGATGACATCTAGTGGTCGCCCTATAGATGACATCCGCCTGATCCTCTAATACAGTGGCTGGACTCAGCTTCCATCCGGATAGATGACATCTAGTGGTCACCCTATAGATGACATCTCCTGGCTCCAGTGATACAGTGGCTGAGCACCAGGGGCAGGTCTTAAATGCTCCATGCGCTTTAATATGCGCTATCTGGTTAGTGCATTATTTGGCTATTATCATTTCTGAAAGTCACTACTTTTGGTTCTTTACATATTGGAGACTGTATGCATTTTCAGCACATCTGATGAACTTACACTGACATTTTACTGATCCACTATCATATGTGGTCTATCATATGTTTAATCGCTATTTGGGTTAGCGCTGCACTCTCATTCTTTATGAAATCATGTCATAGTTCATCCCTCTGGTCATTCCTTGGTAAAAAGATGCTGCAACGTGTAAAAAAGCACAAACATATTTTCAGGCCGTTTTTTGGGTGTCAAAACAGGCTCAAAAGTCCCCAAAACAGATACAGCAATGCTTAAAATGCGAAAAGGTCACGGGGAAAGGAGTTTAAAGGCTACTTCCTGTTTTGGTCACATCACATTGATGACATCACTTCCGCTTTCAGAAATGGCAAGTTTCCCCCCAATTTCTTGGCTGTCTAAGGCTGATATCAACGCATATTCCATCCCTCTAGTCATTACTGTTTAAAAAGAAGATGCAACGGGTAAAAAGGTACAAAACATTTTTTGCCAATTGTAAAATTTTCATGCCTTTGATCAATGTAAATCCATTTTTTTTACTTTTTTCCAAGTGGTCATGTGACCGATACATCTGTCAGACTCAACAATGCCTAAAGCAATGGACATTAGTGGAATGGCATCACAGCCCTAAGTATTCAACGCCACTGTCAACTCTATTCTGCTAGACACACATGTTGTGCTTTGCGGTCATGTGACCACTTGGAAAAAGTAAAAAACTGTATTTATATTGAGATGCATTACTAACTGAATGCAGGAAGTAGAAGAGTGGTGGGGAGGCAGCTTTTAAAAGGTATGTGATGGCATTGCCTTTCCTTCTACCTTAAGCAATGTTCACTACAGGACTGTTATTTTATTATTTATTACAGGTACTTATATAGCGCCGTCAATTACCCAGTGCTTTACATATATTCTGTACATTCACATTAGTCCCTAACCCTCAAGGGGTGTACACTCTAAGGTCCCTAACTTATATTCATACATACACATACTAGGGTCAATTTAGACAGGATCCAATCAACCTACCAGCATGTCTTTGGAGTGTGGGAGGAAACCGGCGTACCCAGTACCAGAGAACATGCAAACTCCAGGCAGGTGGGGCCGTGGTTGGGATTCGAACCATGACCCTAGTACTGCTATGATTTGGTGATCAAACTGGGACTCCAGGAGTTCCTCAAAGGAAAGCATTAAGGGTTAGGGGTTGAGGTTAGAGTTAAAAGGCATGTAAACTGTAGTAATGAACTTCTCTTATTTGGTACTTTGAGCCTGTTAAAATAAACTATTGAGAGCATGTTATATCTATTTAAGTGTAAATATACCGGTTAATCCTGACAAAAATCTTCAAGCTGATAACTGTGCTGCACACTTATCAGTTTTAATGTCCCTCGCTATCTCTGAGAATTACAGAACCATTCTCCTCTGAGTAGAGGCTTGCTTGGATTTCACTCCCCTGTGTTGGATTTATAATGCTGACACAGAGCCTTTGCAATGGCCACAGTAGCGTTTGCTATTTAGGACAGGACTACAATTGTATGTGCGCATGTGACTTGCGTGAGCACAGTACTCTGCTCTAATACTCCTGAATACCCCCCCCCCCAATGCCTAGTAACACCTGTCTCCAACCTCTGAAGCCACTGCCTGGTTCTCCTATCTTCTGCTCCTGCCAACCTGCTGACTGTAAAAAACCTAACAGTAGCTGGTGGAGCTATAGTTTATATTTGTGTTGCTGGTTGCATATTGTAGCATGGGGTAATGTGCAGCCACTGCAACCAACTACATGCCCCAACAGGAAGTGCAAAGGTATGTCTGGGTAATGTTCCCAGCCAGGAAATTTTCAAAGTATGCTTTTGCCTTGCGGAAATATAATCCTAAAAATAAAACCATGTCTTGTATACTTCAGTGTAAGTTACTTAGCAGTTTCTTTGCTTGGCATCTTAGGGCTTACATCAACTTTATGGTTTAAAAAGTCATAGTATGTGAGGTTTTTTTTTTTTTTCAGTACTCTCAATGCCGAAACCCTTGTGGAGAACACTATCAGTACTGGTCCCTTAGTTCCGAAACATAATATACACTTAAAAAAATATATATAGCATGGCACTATAACAAGTCTTATTTCCTTTCTGTTACACACAACCCCCAGTATTCTTTATCTAAGGAAACTTATTGCTGCAACAACCGTGGGCAGGAGTTTATAGAATCACATCCAAGTCTCATGTTCTGACAAAGGAAGTGAGAAAACCATTAGGTTCACAAGGACATTCAGTACTTTTCGGTGCCCCTTCACACTTGGCTATACAGTACAAGGAATGTAGTGTAATTCTTCCTGTACCATCATG